ACGGCCTCTTCTCTCCGTACCTCCAACTCAATTAAGATAAACAAATAAATTTATTCATCTGTTTTCACACTTTCTTGAACCATAATTATAAGGATTATGAGATAAAAATTATACAACTTTAAAGTTTTATATTAACTTTATTAATACACATTACTTCGTATATTAAGATCTCTTTCAAATGTAGTAATTTTATAGAGATCTGCTTAATGTTAATAGATTCGTGTAGGTACTTAATAAACAGGTATGCATGTTGCAATAAAGTGATAGCTGTTTAGTATGTAAGGGGCAACCTGCGTCTGCCGTTAATCGACCGCTACACTTCGTTGACAATTATCGCCTAATAACGATGTATTGTCGCATGTAGCCGAATCTAATAGCGATTCACAGTCGCCATGTCCACGGTTTCAATGCTAATCGTTTGAATTTACGGTGCCCGATAATCGCGACATGCGTACGTGAAGACATCGTACGAAGCGCAGGGCGATCGCGCATTGGATATCTAAACGTACCACGAATACGTGCGCTTTTAAATTATGAACGTGTGAACTCACTAATCGATCCCATTTATATTGCGCGCCTCAGAGATCCTTATCCGTCGTCAAGCAGACATCAAGATGAGAACATAAAAGTGCTTCGGTACGCTAACAGCATTCGAGAAGTAGGCGGGCGTGGCGACTCGGTGCCCTCCTGTCGGGTGACCCGGCGGTCATCGCATCTCACATCTAGTGCGCCTCTTAGCATACTTAGCTCGGTCTGGTCGGCTACTTTTGTATAGTGAAACACAGTGAACGTGACAACGCAATTTTTTTATGGTCTCATATATAAAAGTAAGGTTTTTCTTATAGTTTATCATTGCGTTCACTTTTTCGCGTCGCTTTGAATGAGAAGTTATAAAGCTTTTAGATTTCTTACCGTTTCGTAGGCTACTCGATATCAAAACTTTGATCCAAAGTTCGTCTCAAATTGGTGTCAATGCTCTGCGGTTGCAGTGTTCCGAAATTGTTGGGCAACCGGGGCAGCGACCCAGCTAGCGACGCCCTTCCGATCTGATAGGCTTCGCCGGACCGACGCGTGCTAATTTTATCATGATCCGAATTGCTAAGCTTGTCTTGTGAGAATCGAGGACCCGACAAAGACTAATAAGCGTTCAAGTTTAGATTTATAAATCTATGCAATGAAAATGTTTCTATTCGAGTTTGAGTTTGCGTAATGATATTTTGTTTGTTTTATAATTTATATTTTTGCAAATGAACTTAATGTGTTCTTTTGTACAGCTTCGCTTAAAATATGAATATTGTAAATGCACACAAACAACAAAAAGCTCAGACAAATATAGGAGGAAAAATTATATATAGAAAAATACATTATTCATTGGAATCGGTGTCAATGTCTCATCAACGCTTAGAACAAATTACTGAAGTGGCAAAATGAATGTATTTGTACTTCAATGACAATCGTGCAAGTTTGAAGCTTCTTCGCTCTTTTGTTTCGATGTTTCCTCAAGTACGCGCCGTTGTCAACATCTGAGGCATAATTGTGAAATAAACCACACGTTGTGGTTCTGTCTCTGCATCCGATTCAAATTTGGGTTTATTTAAATCAGATTAACTGTTACTTTTAACGCCACACCGCTGGAACAAACGGTAAGCCAAATTATGCTTGGGAAGTGGGCCTCTATTGTGTACATCAAGAGAATCGGTCTTCCCGTAACGAAATCGGCACTTAATCACAGTGCTACTAACGCAACCTGCTAGTTTATTAATGTAATCAGAGACTAAACACATTTTATATACTTTTAGAATGTGTGATTAATTGTAGCTTGTGTTTTAGAATATTATTATATTGTAGTACATTATTATTGGTAATAAAAATATCACAATAACAAAATCATAGTTCTTTTTCAGTAAAGAAATGAAGAATAAAAACTTTTTTTGAAAACAAGCTTCTATTACTTCTTAATGAAAAGAAATAAAAAGTTACAAATAGTTTTAATCTGATAAGAAATATACCATTTTATAGATTAATAAATCCATTTTTTTAAAAGCACTTAAATTCCTTCTTTATTTCTCTTACAGCAAAATGTAATCGGTACGCTTTTATTAAAATTGAACACATTAGAAATAGGAAAAATAATGTATAGGCGTTTTTTGGTCGGAAGGGTTGGGGACCCTGATGAGCTTTTTTAAGGGAGGAAAACATTTTATCGCAATCGAAGATCGACAAAACCACAACTCCTATCGAAAAATTAGAACGGCAAAATTAAAGGTAATTTAAAATTTACGTAAGATATCTGCAAAAAAAATAACCGACTTTTTGTATTTATGATTATCTCCCACATTAAAGATTTTATTTTACAAAATTTGGTGATAAGATACCTTTTAATATCCCAAATATGCTACATTTTTTCACCTGTTAATTTATCTTTCCTCTTTTCTAAATGTGTTTCTTTCTTTTGAAATATGTTTCATTCTGTTCTGCATTTGCTCGTTCACAAAAATTGACCCTGACTTATCATATTTTCGGGAATTTTAGAATATTTTAAGCTTTGGTAACATTTCCAGGAATGTTCTCAATCAATTTCCATTATTCCCGAAAACGGTATATAATGTTTATTGTGATCCACATTTCTTATAAATCCACTCTAAAAATTGTGAAAGTTCAATCACATTTGGAGTGTTCTGTCAACTCCATTCAGAGAAAAAAATGTGCGAATTTCTCGACTTGACAACAAGAATGCTCTCCACGAATACGTGGTATTTTAGCAAAGCAAATAAATAGATAGTGGTGGATTGTGCACCCTCACCCTACAGAGTGCAGAGGTGACTTGCGTAGAGCGTCTAGACGCAGGGACCCTCCGCCGATATCCCTACATACATATTTACAGACTCTTATCAAGTAGAATTGAATTTATTAAGATTTAGGATACTTACCTTTTTTTCTAAGATTTAGTATAAGACGTTTAAGTCGTGCATTTGCGACGCGGCTTTACGTAGCGGATGTTATTCGCCAATTTAGACAATACAACGCTGCGTAATGACATGTGACAATATCCACGGTAAGGATAATAGAGATATTCCCCAGTGAAGTGTGTCGGGGGAGGTTGTTGAAAAATGCGTGCAAGGTGCGGTGCGGTGCGGAGTATACAAGCCGAGTGTAATGAGTGGTTGGTGGAGGCGCGGGCGCGTGGGGTGTACCGAGATTGTTCCCACGGTAACGCGTCTGCATGCATGGCTTAAGTTGCAGAAGTTTACTTTGTAACCACTGACTATTCTAGTAGACTTACCTGCTCGCCGTAACTGATAAAAAGGATATAACTTAAGTTTAACGTTTCCAAACACCAGTACCTACGTAACTTAACGAAGTTAAATTTAATTGGATTCGAGTATTGATATATAGTTTGAAATAATGTGCATGTTATGTAAATTTAATAAATATAATACCGTACACATATAAAACAAACAGTAAGCCCATAAAGTGTGATAAATTGTAGGTTCTACTTTCCTATTGGTTTCTAGAAACATTTAAATTTTGTTACACTGAAAACCCTTTAAAAGTGGCTACATTGTTTTGAATGTTGACCGCGTGCGGTCGCTGAATAGACTGTTAAAGTCGCTATTCACTCAAAGGTAAACAGGCACATTTTTGCGTTTCCGCGTTCCTGGTCGAGAGTTCCCGCACGACGACGCTCGTACGACCACCTTATTACCTCATTGTTTACTGTGAATCAAACCTACCCGAACATAAACTCACCGTCAGTAAATATTACCGCTTTAAATAACTCCCAGTTTAGTGGTACGACGCACCGGGACGACTCAATCAGAAAATTTACCGAGTACTGAAACAAATTAAGTAGATTTCCGGTAAGCTTCGTTTCACGTCAAAATGATCTCGTCCCCCAGTTTACATCGTTCATCGTAGATGTAACTCTATACTTATATCTCCGACTAATGGGCTGGCTGAGTGAGCTGATTAAGTGTTCACAATTTGAATTGTTTACTCAATTGCTATTTGGGTTGGAAAAGTAAAAGAATTCGAATCTTGCTCATAAAAGTTATGAGATTATTGCCGTGCGATACTTCGCAATTCGACTTATCCGGTGTCAAGAAGTTTTTGTCCAAGTGTGAACGTGTCGAGATGCGGAGAGGACGCACACATCCCCCGTCCCTCCGGCTTGAGGACGGCACTCCGTCACGCGTGGCACCGCACTACCAAACCTCACCCCTGTTGCGAATCACACACGCACACACACATAAAGACACGCACACAATGCCATTCATTAAATGTCCAATTTATTAGACATTCGCACCACGATACAGCTTCATTTATTTCACTGGCAAACATACAAAACATTTTATGAATATATAACAATAGCAAAATATAGGTTTCTATTGCAAAGTTAAAATTTATACCGACTTGTGCCATTCTTTACGGGACCTAGAGGGTATAATAAAATACGAGCTAGCACATTTTAGTATTCCCTTGGTAGTGACTTTCGCACTTGCTTGTTATTTACGATCTTTGTAGTATATTACACGTTTATATTCAACCTGCTTTATGAAATAGATTTTACCTTTACTGTTAATATATTTTAGTATGGACTGAGTTCATCGTTTATGATTTGAAACTGCGTGGATTTGTGTCAAATCAGTTAAGCTAAGCGCGTAGAGCAATAACCAACCAATGTACTACGATGGAAAGTCGCTACGGTGGATTGGACAACTTAACATTTTTTATTTTTATGATTATACACTAGATAAATAACATTTGTCTACTTATAAAGAACGATAAATCAATGTAGTTATGACACAAGTACACGGAGTAAGATCTGTAAATTTTTGTTTCGACCTTTTGTAAGCATACGCACAAACATTAGTACCTATATATTTCTCCGTTTTTTCGAAGTTTTGGAATCCTATTATAAGTGGGTAGGGTAACAGATACTTCAGTGGTTTTTTGATTAAAGAACAATGTCTCAAACAATTTTCGTGTTGTTGTTACAGACGGGCGGCAGCAGATGGATCGGCGGCGCGCGGCAGGAGCGCTGCTCGCGCTAGCCGTGTGCGTTGCGAGCTCAGATGCAGGTAAGAACTACTAGAAAATTAAATTTAAAAAATCATGTAACCGAAAATTTTGATTCCAAATTCGACAAATTTAATTGTAGCTATTTACATCAGTTTTCAGCAAAAACTATCAAATACGGCTTCCTTGAACTTGAATACGATTTGCAATTTTTTGTCTCAACTAGTTTGTAACAACTGATCAGGTATTCAGATTTAAGTAGAAAATAATAATAAATAAATTGAACGATATGATTTAACTTATGACTTTTGTTACATGATCATTAGATTTGCTCTTATTATCTTAAAAAAATCCAATGAATTATTTTAAATACCACGGACACTTAACAACATAATATGCTTAACTAAATATACAATCAGAAAAAATTATATATAATATATTTGAAGTATGAAAAGTGCCTCATGAATTGCAAATCGAACCTAGCACCAAAACATAACAGTATATTTTTTTAGCCAACATACGTCTAGTCTAGACGTAATCCTCAAACAAATTAGCATTGTTCGGTCTTTCATATTTATTTCGTATATTTAATAATATATGATGTAGGTTGGATGCGACATGTACTAACTGCCGTATTACCGTTGTGTTAACTCGTGACCCGGAATAAGTTAGCTCACAAGATGACCGGACCAAGTACGATACCTATTTATGTGTATATTACCTATTCGACGCCCGTTGACGAGTCCGCTTAAGCTGCACCATCTCTTGCACCCGAATGCAAACTTATAACATATTATATATAAAAAAAAGTTTATCCAGTCAGAATTCGTTCATTATCTAAGGTCGCTATGTTTCATCGATAGTAAAATATTACTATAGTTAAATCTTATAGACAAATTATACCATTTGTCAAAATTTTACACGTTTACTTTGTATTTGTCGTGACATTAACAATAGTCAAATTTAACTATCGATGAAACAATGCGGCCTAAGCCTTATGTAGGTTTATAAGTTTTGTATCCAATAGATTATTAACAAGCCAGGTCGTATAATCGCATACTTAATCCAATAGGTTTCAAAACTGGCTAATAACAAAATAATAACATAGTTAAAATCTGCATATTTTAAATTGTCTGATGTTTGTTTAAGATAAATTAAACGAGATCACCGATCTCTAAGCACTCTAAGTAGTGATTATACATCGAGGAAGCTTTTATGCTACCATTATAAAGCATGTTAGTACTGTAGTACTGATTCGTCCGGTTTTACTGTGCAATCAGATTTTATTAGCCTAATTAACCTCGTTAGAACATCAAGCTTCATTACCCCATTATATAAGTTTATTGAATATGCGAAATGATTTTATTTGGAATCACATTGTATGTATTGTAATAGGAAATCTAAATTATATTAATCCAATTTTTGTTTTGACACTGTATTCAATAAAACAATCATGACTGATAGTAATTTCATAATTCATGACGTTGATACAAACTCGCTTCGACGCTCGACAGTAAAAGCAATTCCGAAAAAATGACTTTCTTGACTCACGAAGAAATGAGGTCGTTGTCCCCTGTGTTATCCTAAAACTGCTGGATATGACAAATATTACTAATTCATTCTTAATTCCACGAAATCAAAGACCAGGTTACGGTAAAAATTAATTTAACGTGAATGCACTAAATTTTACCATTCTTTCACGAAACTGGCAAACATGAATTAAAAGGTATATTTTATTCTAAATGAGAAAGTCATAATATTTTTTTAATATTTATTTTATTATCGTTTTAAAGTAATATTTATGTTGCCCGGCTCGCTAGATTTGTTTTGATTGCTCGCTCATCTAGATTTTAGACAGCTCAAGGTGCAATTCTAGCTCAGGAAGAAACTACTCGTAGCTCCGAGGGTATTGATCTCTTATTGATATATTTTATAGGCTACAGAAATATACTGTCAGTCAACTGCTGTACTATATTAAATGCAATGCAGTTAAAACGTGAATTCCAGCAGTAGTTTGCTTAAATACAATAAATATTCGTTCCAATAGGTATAATAAACTAAAGTTTACGGTAATTTGTAAATTAAAAGTCAACGGATTTGTCAGTCAAAACATGTTTGTCAATCGATATATGATAGCTTCACCGTTACGGATAACCACTTAACATATTCTGTCATATCAATCATACTTTATTAAGATATTGAACATAATATTAACAAATAAAAATGGTACACGGAATGACAAATCACTTTATTGAAATTGCACATGTGACATTGAACTGGTTGAAATAAATGAGAGTGGATTGATTCGCGTTTATAAGGAGGATGTATTGAGTTCGAGTATCCCGCGTCCCATGTCCCGCGTGACTCAGCAGCGCTGGTTGGAGCTGGTCGTTGTCCCGCTAACTGTAAAGGTCCGTGCGTGTCTGTTCCGCGGTGCATGCTGTTAGATGATGCTATTTTCGTCTGCAATCAGATTTAGTACCCTTCGCACGGCTTCTTCAAAGAATTCCAATTGAATTTACGTTATACATAGGAAGTATATTTAAATGCGGCCTACAATGTTAAGGTCTACCCGTGTGAACTTCATCACGAATGGCGACCACGGCGACATTCATTCATTGAAACGACAATCCATATTAATGTAGTGCAAATTTTAAATTCATGCTGTCGCCTCATTTCGATTGCCTGGGGTCTTGTTCCTAAGCGCACGATTTTGCATTAAATAGTTTTTTGTTCATGCAAAGCCATTTATAACGTCACACTCAAACGTTAAGGTTATTCATAAGGTATCCTGGGAATCACAAGGATGAGAACATACGTCAGTAGCGTGCTTAGGATTTTTTATCGAAGCCTGACCTGTGTGTAATGTTATCGAAAAAGAAGACACATAAAACATGAAATATCGAAATATTTGCAGTTACTTTGTCGTAAACTGATTTAATTATATCATTTTCTGAGACACTCGGCTTCCTCAAACAAAACGCAGAATCTTTAAAATGTGGAGAGGAACCCAACGCGGGCTAGGTTTTCCCGTTACGGTCATAATTTCGGTTTTATGAGTGGTGTCCGTCACGAAAGTGGAACATTATAATTGAAATCGCGATTGGCAAAAACTGGATGCTAACGACATTCCTGGCGACCGTTAGATGGACGATCTGGCGGCGCAGGCGCAGCTCGGGCGCCGCACACGCGCCATATACAGCGATGAGACAAGAGCCTCACCCTAACGGTGCCGTCCACTCGGATAAGCCCAAACACACCGCACTACCAAACTTAATCAATTGCACAAGCCTTTAACCGCAACAATCAGTCTTTGCGCCGATCTAGCACCCTCGCGATCCCACACAATGACCACGGTAGTGATGCCTTCTAGTTAAGGTGATGTAACAGCAATCATCGACTGCCTTTTTTATTTTAATTCAGAAGATATGGAAACATAGAACAATATCGTGAAATCAGCAATAACACTAAACTAAAATAACATTATGTAGAGGCACAGTTGAATATAAACATAAGAATGGCGTGTGGTCGAAACTAACATGCACGAAAGTTTGAGCAGTGTCTAACCGCAGGCGAAGTGCAAACGGTATCTTTATGTGTCTAGTATCTTAATAATCGATTACATATAAGAGTTTTCCTCCGGCGTTAAGACTTGTGCCCTAAGTATCGGATCGCTGTGCCCCGGCTCAATGTTAACGATGCACTCCGTTACTTTAATTACAGTTTTGTCGCTTTTGCCGCCGCCTTCAGTAATTATACGCAGTAAAATGGATATGTGAAACGACTTTAAGACGATGACCGATCGCAGTTATGACGATTTGCAGCCAATATCCTGTCCAGCTGTGTTGCACTTAATAAGGCAACCATAAAAACTGTAGTAACATTTTCTAAGGAAACATATGGCTGCATGACAATAGCGTGAATTTTTTGTTTGTTCTAAATACATAATTCTTTATCTCTTTATGTGTCTCTTGTCTAATAAGATTAAGAAAGGTATCTTAAATGAGTTTTCATCAAAAACTAACGCTGAAACAGAGTTTAAGACGAAATTGCAATCTTAAAATATACCTTTCACAACATGAATCAAGTTAAACAGTGTCTTAAACACTGTTTGGAGGTTGGACTATTGTAGTGTACAGAAGGGAAATTATATTTTTATGAAAGTACAACATTAAATACAGCTTTTGCATTATTAAGTAATATTTCTTAAAGCTCCCTTTTTCGATATTTACATATAACATATACAGCCAATACACTTCATTTTATCCGCATCAATTAGCGTAGCCCCAAAGTAAGCACTGTAGGCTTGTGTTATAGGATACCAAGGTAACGCACAGAATACATATACTAACACATATTTAAGTATATTTACTTAGAAATACATATTAAACATCCATAACTGGAGTACAAATTCTCGTATTCATCACACAAACATCTGCCCCCACCGGGATTCGAACTCGGGACCTCTCGAATAGGCGACACCTTTAAACACGGCGTCCAAACCACTCGGTCACGAAGGTCGTCAAACTTCGTCTAAATTAAAAATTATATATTTTTTTATTGTAAGTTTATTTATTAATGTTATGAAACATTTTAGATAATAACATCTGTTTTTTATCTGAAATATATCATAACGATAATAAATATTATTTTCTGAAATGTCTCGAAATGATATTTTATAATATTTCTGGAGTTTACTCCTTAAGAATCGATTTGCATATATAAGGGGCCCGGTATGAGAAAAATGTGAGGAGTAAAATCTATCGATGAATGACCTCGTTACGTTTTTGGTGCGCATCCTATGTCGCGCAACTTTGACAAACAAAGATGACGGATTGACATTAATAAAATTTTTAAAATCTGAACTAAATTTAGATATTGTTTCTGATAAAGCAATGGGGACAACGAGGTATGGTACAACCATTGATGCGGTATTTTCAAGATTCGTGAACCACGTATCTACGAACGTCCATGTGTCTTATTTTAGTTACCATAAACCACTTGTCACTGTAATTAATAATGCAGACAATGTTGATTTAATTAATATTTAAAAAAATGATAATAGTCTGATAATAATAACTACATAATTTATCAACATTCCTAATGATATATTTATGCACATCTGAAATTGACTATTGTAAAAAGTTTAATGTAAAATATTTCGTCGATTAGTTATAATAATGTATATGAAATGAATAAATATATATTTATATATGTATATTATTTTCATTAATTTGTTAATTTACCCTTTCATACAGAATCAATCTTTTTTAAGTTAAATAAACTCTTTTTGCGTCTGGTTAGACTATCGAACTTAAGGAGTAAACTCCAGTCGTGCGTCGGAGCTGACACACACATTTTTTAAACGCCTTGTAACGTTGTGCAAATATAAAATAAAATTGAAAAAATGGTGACTGAAATATTTGTTTAAATTATATGGTGGTGCTATGTTTTCGTAGAACAATCTTCTCTATCAGTTAATTATTACTTTTAGCCCAAAAACTAACTTGTCCTAGATACTTCAAAAAATATGTAAAAGATTAAATGATAAGCATAGTAAAGCGAGGTTGAACAAAAATATGTTTATATATGATTTGATGTTTATTGAGCGTATAAAAGAGCAAGCATAATGCGACTTATTTTAAGTTGGCGTGAAAAGCAATCACGTAGTAATGGCGCAGCGTTGTATTTTCTACAAGATTACGTTCGTAGGCATGAAAAAATTACACAGGTCTTTTCGTTTATGTCGATAAAAAAAGTTGAAGTCATTTCTAGATATTTTCTTTGCGAGGCTTTAATTTTTAACACTTTCACTTTTATTTCAAACTTTTTTTTTATGTTTTCAGCTCCGACAGCGAGCAACCAGACGGCACTAGACCTTTATGATGGTATGTATGATATTTCTTTGCAAGACGTATGACTGTTGAAGATGGCTGGTGAGACGAAAGAGTTCACTCCAGTCATCCACACCTTACCGGCCGCCTACCGTATTATTCCGTAATAGTACAGTCAGTCTGTCGAAAAAAATATCGTTTCAGTGAAAAAAAAACCTAAAGGGTAAGTCTTGTTTTTTCTGTTGCCAAATGACGTCAGTAAGCCAGCTTGGCGATGGGCATGTTCAACTCGTAGGCGTTTTTTGAAAAACTCAAAAAAACGTTCAAAAATTTTTTGAAACGCACTTTTCTTGTTTTGTATGCATTTTAGAAACTTTTTTTTCGACCATAATTGTAGAAGGCGTTGAGTGCTACAATTTATGTCATTGTTGCAATCTGGTACAACAAAAAATGCGCATTTTAGGTGGCGCTAAAGTCTCAAAAAAGTGTTTTTTCACTTTTTCACCCTGAAAATATCATTTTAATGGAAAACTTTAAATGGCAAAGTTGTTTCGTACATAATTACCAACAACTTTTGCATAAAAATTTTTTTTGTATTACATACCGTTTTCAAGTTATAAATTGCGCAGGTATGAAAAATCCAATAGAGTGGTTTTGGGCAGTTCACGTACACATTTGCAGTGCACATTTCAATCTACGTTTTACTATTTTTTATTTTTTTTCATGATTGAAAACCAATAAATGAAAAATAACTGTCCACAAAAAATATCTTTGTAAGTATATCGAAATGAACAATATTATTTCTAAACCCCTTCAAACTATGACATATTTGACCTAATATTTATTATAATAAATCACAGAAGGCCTAAAATAATAGATTTTATTTTTCTGATCATTCTTGAGACAAGGTGTATGATAATTAATCCTTTAATATTTGCAAATGGCCAAAATAAAACTTCACAGATTTCCTGTCAGGCCGACGATAGTAAATTATTTGTATTTATTTTTGCTTTGAGTTAATCAAAGAAATGGGAAGAAAGATTCTAAGGAAATGCGAAATTGATGACTCTGTAATTAATTGGCAACATCTTTTATCAACTGTAGTAAGGTAATGTACATAGTAGGAGTTCTCATAATTTTCAAGATTGTGACTTTATCAAAAGTTCCTGAGTCTTTTTTCATAGAAATTATGAATATTCAGCTGTTGACCATTAAATATTACTAAGTACAATATTTATACATTGTCAGGGCAGTCACCCATACAAAACTTTACCATGTCCTTTCGAACGCACACACGTGAATTCTGCGGTAATAAGTGACTTCTTTCTTACGGAATAGCACGGCTGAACACAATCCCCTACCCCCTGAAAACAGTATTGTGGAGTACTGTTTGGAGGTTATTTCCCAAGACGAGAAATCTAAAGCTCTTAGCTTCTTCTTTCTTTCTTCTATAACAAACCTGATTTTAATATCAATTAAAATTTTGATTTCTTGCCTATATCGTTAATCGGCATAATGCTCAATAGTATAATAATCCTTTTTCGTTCCGGTTAGTCCAAATACTCTGCAAAAAAATCATAACATATACTGTTACAGGTGCAGCAGAAGGCTGTTACTACAATTTTCAACACTATGGCGAAGGAGATCGGATAATGACCAACGAACCATGCCTGAACTGCACGTGTCACAACCGAATGCTCATGTGCTACTTAAGGGTGTGTCCCTTTACCAAGCCCATAGGTCAAGACTGCACTGTTGAAAAGAGGGCAGACCAGTGCTGCCCCATTGTTACCTGTCCAGATGGTAAGCGACTAAGATATATATGTTGTTTATTTTTTGCTCCACGTTGACGTTGCTTTACCACAGTAATATCAAATGAAGCGATGCATATTTTTGGAAGATACAATGCATTGTCTCTATATTTTTAAAAACTATTTATTTTATTTTTACATTTTCTTCAATATTTTAATAACATAGCCTTAGCTATTATTTTAGTTTGTTTTTTCCTATCTCGTTTTATACCTGAGGAAAGTTTCTTTTTGAAAAAATACTTTTATAAGTATTCTCATCATTTATATTTAAAGTAACATTTTCTATCTATTTTGTTTATTACACACTCACACCAATCATTTAATAAAACACCTTTTAAACGGGTATAAAGCGAGTTTTATTATATAACTATAAAATGCCTGTGAAGTGTCCGAAATGTCAAGAATAATGTGAACACATATTAAAGCCCGTTTAAAGTGTCTCATTAAAGATTTTCGATTACTTTGCTGTTTACTCTCCGATAGGCCTTAAAGGCCTGTTGTGTCATGGATGCATTACCTAATTAACAATTGAGAATTATATCAAATTGCTCTTTTAACTGTTAATAATAGCATTACTTTTTGTCACAGTTCCAGTCGATCTACTGACATCGACATCGACAACATCACCAGCCGAGTACGGCGGTACTGGCGTGGGCAAGCTCGATAAGTACGGCTGCAGTATAAACGGAAAATATTTCCCAGAGGGCTCAAAGGTGCCCCCGACCCCGAACAAACCCTGCGAACATTGCTACTGCATTCGAAATATGACGACTTGTGTTATGCAAGAATGTACGCTGCACGTAGATGGATGCACTCCTATCTACCACAAAGACGTATGCTGCCCTGTCCGCTACTCATGCGGTAATTATATTGTGACTTTTTACCATTTTTTTTGCAATACAATGTGTTTATTGCTAAAAAAACAAATAAATGAATTTAAATAATATTTTTCAGATCACCCCGAGGATGAAATGTTACTTCTAGATGACATGACTACTACTGTCAGACCAACGCCTGGTTTCTTACTCACGACTACGACACTATCTCCCGTTACACAAATGTCTCAAGATTGCGTTCACGAAGACAAAATTGTTCCCGATGGAGCTTTGATAAAAACGGATAAGGCATGTGAACATTGTTACTGCATGAAAGGTGATATAGTGTGTGTTGTACAAGAATGTGGCACACCAATGGAAAATGAGGGTAAAAACTGTACATCTCAGCCACCAAGGGAAGGTCAATGCTGTCCAGATACGTACATTTGTGAAGGTGATGAAATTGCTACCGAAATGCCGTCAGAATTTACTACTGAACCTTTTGTAACAGATGAAATAACTACTTTATCACCACCTAGAAGGGTGGGAGTTGAAGGAAGTGGATATAGAAAAGAAACAGAGGAATCTTATACTGAAATACCACTGTTTGAAACAGATACTGAAGGAAGCGGATATGATCACGAAACACCTCATCATGAAACACCTCATCAAGAAACCCCTGATCACGAAACTCCTGATACCGAAACTCACGTGACATCTGAAGTAATAAGTGAAACCACAGAAGACCTCTTTTACATTGCTAGTAGCACACAAAAAACTCCCACGTTGGAGGAAATCGAAAAAACAACAGAGCCCGACAAAGGACTTAATACAGTGCCAAGTGGCTTATTCGATGAAGAGACTTCAGAAGCACCTCATAAAACCACTATATCAGAGGGAATGAAAATAACTGAAGAACCAATCGTTACCGGTGAAGATGCATCTAAAGACAAAACTATGATTCCCGAATTACCAACTACTCCAGAAATTACAAATAAAGAAGAGGTGATACCAACTTCAACAGAATCAGCATATAGAAAAGAGGATGAAATAAATGAAGTTACTGATCATTATGAACACATTGATCATGAAAAATTAAGTACACCACCTGCCCAAACGGTGGAACAAACCACAACTTTAATTAAATATACTACTTTAGAAGCAGAATCTCCAATTGATGAAAACAAAGTTGATTTAACAACAGAGATAATGCCCACGGCTGATTATAAGCCAACCGAAGATAAAGAAACTACACAACCAGATACTGAAATAGGCACATCTGATAGCTTGATTAAAACACCAGGCGAGATAAGCACTGATGATACCTCTTTACCTAATGAAGTAACAACTCGTGCATCATTAGATGCGTCGATTTCAGAAGAAGTCACAAAAGCAGATGTTATCGATGATGTCACGAAACAAAAGGATGTATCTACCGAATCATTAATGGAATCTTCCACATCTTCGAGCAAGATTGACGATACCATTAAAGAAGAAGAAGTATCTACTAAATCGATGTTTGATCAAGAAGATGATACTATGAAAGAAGAAGTAACCACTCAATCGTTTGTAGACGTCTCTACTCCTGTAGACGCAGTCAAAGCAACAAGCGTAGTAAGTCACGATGTGACAGTGAAATACTCGGAAATTACTACAGAATCATTATTAGAAGTATCGACTGCATCAGAGTTCACTAAATCTTCAGATGATCTTGAGAAACCAATTGAAGAAAAAGAACACATTACCGAATCCCCCATAGAACCTGTGACATCAACCCAAGGTAAAGAAGCAACTACAGAATCATTATTAGAAGTATCGACTGCATCAGAGTTCACTAAATCTTCAGATGCTGAAAAACCAATTGAAGAAAAAGAACTAATTACTAAATCCCCCGTAGAACCTGTGACATCAACCCAAGGTAAAGAAGTAACTACGGAATCATTATTAGAAGTGTCGACTGCATCAGAGTTCATTAAATCTTCAGATGATGCTGAAAAACCAATCGAAGAAATCGAACACATTACAAAATCCTCCGTAGAACCTGTGACATCAACACAAGGTAAAGAAGAAACTACAGAATCGTTATTAGAAGTATCTACTGCATCAGAGTTTATTAAATCTTCTGTAGATGCTGAAAAACCAATTGAAGAAAAAGAACAAATTACCAAATCACCCGAAGAATCTGTTACATCAACACAAGGTAAAGAAGAAACTACAGAATCATTATTAGAACATTCTACTTACGCTGCCACTACTAAACATCCAGAAGAAATAAGCTTTGATCAAGATAAAACTGATGATAAGGAAGCAACAACTGAATCATTATTAGAAACTTCTCCATTCATTAAGGTCCCTACACCTTCAGAAACATTAGCAAGTACTGTGACAGAAAAATCTGACGATATACTACCTACGACGGATAAGGCAAGCCTCCCAGAAACGACAATCATAGACAATCAAGAAAACGAAGTAGAAGGATATGCTAGGATTCCAGGAGAAGGTGACTGCTTACTAAATGGCATCACATATAGAAATAACAGTGAAGTGCCAAGTACTAACAATTGCCACACCAGCTGTAAATGTGTAAGTAGTATTGTGAAGTGTGATCCAATAATATGTAGTCCTCCACCAGAATACATGGATAATTGTCAACCAACTTACGATTCGCCAGATTCTTGTTGCCCGACATATATATGTCATACAGGCGAAACTATGCCACCCCAACCCGACAGTCATATGTCTGGTACTGAAAAACCAGTTCCACCTTCTACGTCTGAATGCCACGGTGATCAGTGTATTATAAAGCAAGATGAGGAATCTCCTGCACCAAGTGAAAAGCCTGTAGTGAGTGATTGTGGGTCTACTAGTTGTGGTGATGAAGTTCTAACACATCCACATATTCCACCTACTGATAAAATATCAAGTGATTGTGATGGCCAAGAATGCTTGCCACCTAAAGAATCTTGTGATGGTGAAACTTGCCAGGCAGCTACACCTGAGAAACCATGTGTAGGTGATAACTGCGATATTGAAGCAGTCATTGTACCAGTTAAAGATATACCACTATGTCAAAATAAAGAGGACTGTCAGCCTCAAGTTATACCCTGTGAAGGTGATGCATGTAAGCCTGCTGAGTGCAGTGGTCCTGATTGCAGTCCAATTGCTATTCCAATACCAACGGAAAAGGATCAAAAGCCAGAACTTTGTGATGATAGCAGCGATTGCCAAAAACAGGAAGATGAAGCTAAACTTCCTTGTTCAGATGAATCTTGCAGAAGGAAAGAAACCGGAGAAGAGCTTGAAAATGTCTTGCCAATTGATTGCACGGGCTCTGAATGTGAAAAACAAAAACCAGAAGTAAGCGCTGAAAAGGTTGAACATCACACAGATTTGCCAGAATTATTGACTACTCCAGAAAAGTCTTCTTCTGAATCTGCTCAACAAACTGACAAATCACCAGTCGATATTCAAACAGAGATAACAACTGAATATAAATTACCTGAAACCATAACAGATAAAATGATAACAACACAGGAAACATCGTCAAAATCTCCTCAAGAAAAAGAGGAGATACCAATTGAAGTCACTACAGAAAATGAATTACCAGAAACAATGACAGATATGATTCTAACGCAAGCGGAAACATCCTCAGAGTCTCCTCAACAAACAAAGGAAACACCTGTTGATATTCCTATAAAAACATCAATTGAAGATGTTTCCACACCCACGGAAACAACAACAGAAATATTAATTATACGAGAAGAAACATCATCAGAGTCTACACTTCATACAGATGAATTGCCAATTGACAAAGACAAAGAAGCACCATCTTCTGAAACTGTTTCCACGACGATTAAGCCGAGTGCAGAACATAGCACGTCTAAACCAGACTTTGATGAACCGCTGAGTGAAAGTAGTACACCGGAAATATCAGAATCAGCAGAAACAACAGTAAAACCATATCTATCAACAGAATTCGAAGAGTTGTTAACAAATACTGATTCAACATCTCAATTTGAGCATGCTACAAGTTCATCACATCCCAGTGTAACTCAACCTGTGTCAGAAGAAAAAATAACACAAAGTGGTGAAGTAACAGAAATGTCAAAACCAACAACGATTACATCAGAAGATTATGATCAAACGAGTAGAGTACCCGAAAAGCAGCCTTCAATAAAACCATCTGAACAGGCTGCTACAGAAGGTGAAAAATCTGAGACAGATGAAGTATTTGCTAGTCAACATCCTGAAATCTTTGAAAGTTCTACTGAACCACTACAAACTTCAGTTACTGAATCACATGAAGCGCATACTACTTCAAGCTTAGATGGTATATCTGAAATACCCAAAGAAACAATTCCTACAGTATCCGAGAATATTACAAAACTACCTCATTCTGAAACAGAAATAGTTAAAGAAAGCACAGAATCACCAGAACAGATCACACCTGAATCACAAGATAGCACCAAATCAACAATTTCTAATCTTGATGAAACCGAGCATGAAGGATACACTAAATCGCCAGAAGAAGAAAAAGAAACTGTGACTTTGAAAGCACAATCGCCGCAACAAACAGATGAAAGTACTACCAAGAAACAAGTTACACCTGTGGAAGCTATTGAAGGAAGTACACTTTCACCAGAAACTGTTACTGATTCGTACAAACCGATTGATAAATCAACTGGTTCCTTGCCATATGATGAGGCAGATGTAACAACATCAACCTCCCCGCGTGATGTTTATTCCGAAACAACTGAATCATATGAAGTGACCAAGAAACTTACTACCTTACCAGAGGTACCAATGATAACAGAATCTGAACGTGATATTGTGACTACTGAAGCAACAAAACAAGAGGACGAAGAAAGTGCTTCAGAATCACATTCGACTAAGCCTGAAGAGAGAAAAACAGAAGCACCAATCAGTAAGATACCATCACTGCCTGAAGATAAGACTGACACAACATTTGTAGATTATAGTCCTACTTTGGGACCTGAGACATTAGTAACAGAAAAGGAAAAGGAGTCTTCAGAAATCCCTGTCACAATACCATACGAAGAAACAACACCAATAAAAGAATTAACTACTGAAAAAGAGGAGGATACAGAAATAAAAACAGATTCTCCTGCAACTGATAAACCTATCAAAGAGACAACTAAAGAAGATATGCATATACCCACAGAATCACCATTAACGAACCAGGATACCGAATATCCTGCAACACCTGCATCGGAAACATATGAAGAAATGTCGAGCACAACACTTAGCATATCAATCGATAGTGAAAGTATATCTACAAAATCACCGGATGTTACTAATGTTCCTTCAGATATTGGTGATACAACTGAAATAGTCGAAGATAAAACTACCCAAAAGGTAGTGGAAAGTGAAGTTACAAAGAAACCATGGCCTTCCGATGATAAAATAGAAACCCAAGAACCGCTTTCCGAGGTAACAGAATCTGTTACAGATAGATCTCATACAGAATCTACGAAGTTACAAAGTACTGAAGGTGTTGAAGAGCACACTGAAACTAAGGAACCCTCACATGTTACAGAAAAAAATACAGTAGAAGAAACTCCAGAAGTTACTGATATTAAGGATACAACTGCTAAACAACCTGCAGAGTCACCAATACCTACTGCCTCAATAATCACAGAAGATATTGCTACTGAAGTTTATCAAACTACGATAGTGGATCATGACAAAGAAAAAGTTCCAGGACAAATAGAGGAAAAAGAAGAAATAACAACGACATCGTCCGCGCAATCACATACAGAACCACAACATTCGGAAACCGAACTTCCTAGCACTGGTTTAGTAACATCATTACCAGAAATACCTCAGCAAGGCACTCAGACGACTGAGGTACCTCAACATCTAGTTACGGAAGCCGAGACCATCATAGGTGATGGTCTCGGTGAATCACCTTCTACAGATGATGATACTATTTATGCATCTACGCAAGTTCCAGACGAATTTGTGTCTGAGAAAGAAACAGAATTACCTGATACACTCTTCACTACTAAAAAGTCTGACATTTCTGATTTAACAACGAAAACTTTCACAGAAGAACCAGACACCGTAACTGAAATCCCTGTTATAATTACTGATCAAGAAAAAGAAAGCGAAATACCAATCATTCCAGATTTAGGACCAAAAATCCATAACCAAACTGAGGAACCGTCTCTGTCTACCAATGCTCCAACTTCCATTCCAAGTGTTGATGAAACATCCACTCAATCAAGTGTTGTACTACCCGAAACGAGTACAAAAATAGCAGAGCCTGCCATCACAGAAGCCGTTTTACAATTTACTACAAATATTCCTGAATCACACGTTAAAGACCAGGAACTCGATTCACATTTAGATGTCACTACATCTTCAGATATACAAACTAGCTCGTCACATGAAGAACCAAGTAAATCAACTCATTCAACGATATCGGAATTGCAAACTGAAGAGTTTATGGAGGTAACCAAAAAACCAGTTACCGAATCTTATACCGTTTCTACAGATTCAAAATCAGATATCACTGAAGCTGTACAAAAAGAGGTTGCAACTGAAAAGCCATTTGAATCAACAACAGCTGAGATTTCAGATATAACATCTGGCTTATACAAAGATAAAACAACCGAACAAACTGCTGAAGTATTTACAAAAGCACCTCATGAAATTGTTCCTGAGGAACCGTATGTAACCGATAAGTACCCTGATGACACCAAAGAAGTATATACAGATAAAACACAAGAGCCATCAATTACAGAACCCACAATTCACGATGAAAAAACGACAGTAAAATCAGATGAATCAGTTACAGAAGATCTTCAAGAGGTTGTCACCAAGATAACACCTGATGAAGGATTAAAGGAAACACAATCTACCGTAGAACTAACAACGAAATCAGTGACTGAAATCGAAGATATCATAGAACCAGAAATAATGGTGACTTCAGCTCCTTATGAAAAAACAACTGAAGCTTCACAGGAACCCATTACTGAAGAGCAACCAACTATTACTGAAAATGTGTCAGAAAAGAAGGATTCGAAATATGATATTACAACCGAGATACCTGAGGTAAGCACAATTGCATATGAATCAGTAACAACTGCACATGTTATTGATGAAGAAGTCAGTACACTTGTGCCTGACGTATCAACTAAACTGCCTGATCAAGAAATCGTTAAGACAGAAGTTGAAGAAGCAACAGAACCAAAACACGAAATCACTGAAACAACACCATACGTGGTTGAGTTGGAAGAACACACTCACAAAACAGTAGAAGAGTCATCACTACCACCTGAAGATATTGAAAGTGAGTCTAAGCCTACACTAGAATTGACAACGGAAAAACATTCTGACATTGAAGGTCCTTCAGAACATAAAAAAGATCAATATACTACCAGATTACCTGAATATGAATCAACGAAATTATCCGACTACGAACCAGAAAAATCTTCAACACCATCTTACGTACCAACAAAAGAGTTTATTTCTGAAATTACCACTCCTTCGTATGAGGCTCCTGTTGATAAGCACGATGATATTCCTTCATCACCCGTACAGCCTTCTTCTGAAACAGAATCACCACTTTCACAATCAGCAGGAACAGAAATGCCACTGAAAACTGATAAGGTGCCAGACTCAGATAGAATACCTGAAGAAGAAATGCTTCATGTTACAAGCAAAGCTACAACTACCAAAGTAGAGGAAGATATCGCAACTCCATCACCAGTATTCAAACCAGAAGAAAAGCCTATAGACAAAGTGCCATCAACATCTGTCCCAGAAACTCCTAAGCCAGGATTGAACGAAGTATTACCCACAGATGAAATCCCTGAAGATGAGGGTCATTTCCCAAGTGGTGGTCCTAGCGGCTACGGTCAGGAGCCTGATTATGTAGAAGAAGATCAAGCTTTCGGCCCCGGAACATGTCGCTATGGAGGCAAAGTTTATGTATCCGCACAACAAATACCAAGAGACGATCCTTGTGATTTTTGTTTCTGTTTCAGAAGTGATATCATTTGTTTGCAACAGAGCTGCCCACCTCCAATTCATGGTTGCCACGAGGAGCCAATACAAGGATTTTGCTGCCCAAGATACGAATGTCCTGTGGCTATGGCCACTTCTCTTAATGTTACTACAACTACGACGACGACAACCACGACTCTGCCACCACATTTCCTTCCCCACGCCTACAAAGGGGCAGCGCAACGAAGAGGTTGTCAAATAAAAGGACACACCTACAAAGTCGGAGAAGTTGTACGCGCTTCATCTGGCCCGTGTTTACATTGCACGTAAGTAGATAGCTCTTATCGGGTGTTAAATCTAAAGATTATTACATACCTACAGCGAAAAATATTACATGTAATTTAAACAATAAACCTTTTATTATTAACAACACTTTACATTTTAGGTGTGGAGGAGACGGACAGATGAAATGCGACCCAAAGGCGTGTACCCCAGAACCAATGTTGAGGCAAATGATAGCCGCAGCGGTTTCCGCCAAACGACGAAGGTGAAATACCATACAGGACCTGTCACAACACTCGAACACGGCATCACAAGGATAAGCACCTGTGTGATACTAATCATTTCCATCTACTCTTCTATGCACAAGAATAATGCTCAAATTATCCCGATGGAATAGTTTAAGATTTCGTGTCATATGTAGTAATTGATATTATAATATTATATTTTACATAGTGTCGTGGCACAACTCGTAATGAATCAATCATGACTGTGATTAAAATGTAAAATTTTAATGATGATTTTCTAAAACTGATTTTATCATGCATTGTTTTAGTCTTCAGATAAGACTAATTTATATTTGTTTATGATTTTTAGCAAAAGTCAGTGCCAAACGATAGTGGTAAGTTGTAAACGACTATGCCTTTCGGTAATAACGTTACAAATTTCGTTAGAAATCGTTCAAAAGATTTATTATGACCGAAGCGAAGCTGTCGACTCTCAGTACATTAATTAAACATTATAATACAGAAGCTTCCTGGGTCAATAGATCGCCGAAATCTTGACCATATTACATGTAAAATTAATTGTTTTACCGATAAATACTTTAGTCAATGTCTTTGTTTTTACACGATGTTACAATTATTAGATCTAGTATCGTGTAAATATGAAGTAACTTTTAAGAATCCCTGATGTTGTAAATGCCTTACTTAATTTGTAATAATTTATATATTTTAGGTGTATAGTACTTAAGCCATGTTTTGAGACCAGTGACTATTATAATTTAGAAATAAAACGAATGACGAAGGCCCATCATGTTAGTAGAAAAGTGCCGGTCGACGCGATAGCCTACGCCGCGGTGCCGCCTTGGCCGACTCTTTTCCTTGTTTGACGTCTTAGAGAAAACGACACCAATTGATCTTGTTTTCCTTAATTCGTTTGATACGTACAATTATTTTAAACAGTGAATAAATGAAGGAGGTGGCCTCCGTGTTCTTAATCTTTTTGTAAAGACCATTTACAATATATTGAAAATGATGAAAAAAATACATATTGTAGGATCTTTTGTAATTTTTGATATTAAAGTGCTGGTAGACTTAAAGTTGTCAAATCGAAATAGATCGAGATGTGTACGGAAGCTCGACAGGCTTTTGCGGTCGCTTGTAAATATTGGAGCACAAACGAGCTGCTGCATTAATTCGTACGAATCTCCGTCTGTATATACTGGTTGTAGTTATATTTATTTTTATTTATTTAAAGTTGTAGCAATAGTTTATAAAATAATTGGTTTAAAATCAATTGGTTTAATAAAACAGTTTCCATATTATTGATGCACACGATGGTGAAAAATTGTCTATGTCAAATCTAACTTTTATTTGTTTAATTATATTTTACCGAGTCTAGCTATATTCTAGCTGTCTGTGCAAATGCGTTTAAAATAAAATATTCCAAATGAAACGTGTACTATTTATTTTACTTTTTATAATCCTCCAGAAATGTAAGAATCATATTCAATGTTTATCATTTAAAGGTTATCAATAATAGTGATACCCCAGAATTTTTAGTTTCGGTATAGCTCATGTTCCTACTATATTTGTACTTTGATAAATAGTAAACAATTCGTGGAAAGTTTAATATGACAAGAATGTCGCTTTGCTCTAAGCTTACTTTAGCTCTAATGATTACACCACGTAAGTAATATTACAAACGCTAGGTTTCACATTTTTAATACATTTCAGTTTGAGATACAGTTCGCTACGGGTAAGTTACTTTAAACTGTTAAATTTGTCCAACTAACTTTGATCTTTTTATTACTTGACATAAATTCACAATATATTGTGTAATAATTACTTATGCGCAACTGTATGTACTTAGCAAAGTTGGCAAATTGTTTTTTATTATTTTAAAGACATGATATAATATACTACCGGCCGCCCGCGCCTTCGTCCGCATTCACTTTAGTTTTATAAAAAATCCTCAGCTAAGCTAACACTTTTCCGGGATTAAAAATATCCTATGTCTCTTTCCAGATAATAAATTCCAACCAACATACATTGAGTAACCAACATACAAAGTTTCTCATTTATAATATTAGCAGGATTCAGTTAAGTACAATCAAAATTTACTTTTGATGTAATAATTATGATCACTTAGAAAGTTAAAGTATTAGAAGTACTTAATCAAACATAACCATTCGTTGACGTCTCTGAGTGTGACCGTAAACCAGTTTAACACAAAATGAATTCCAAACAATATGACAATTATAATTTTTATTTTTTAAGCATGTAACTGCTTCATGTTTAAATATTTGTTTTCTAGTTATAATACGGCAATTAGTTTCACTCATAATAATCATGTATTTTTTTACAAACATTTGAAGTCAATTGTATCAATTCATGGACTTGGACTTTTGGGGCTAGGCTAATTGGTGTGAGTGTGGGAAATATTATTATTCTAAGATTTCGTTTGATTAGTATTTGGTGGGAAACGTGGGTCTTCGGTACTCCTTTGTTAGTGCCGTTTAGTATGGTAGTCTAGAGATGTGTGTGACGTATAGGTTACTTCACTCGATTTTTCGCGTTCGTCCGTAGATAACTCACTAGATGGCGCTATTGGCAGGTATCATACCCCCCGCCTTGGAAGCTTCCATTTCCAACGAAAGAACATTCCTTGTGCTGCTGTTGTTCTGTGGCTGCTGGACGCCCTCTAGGTGAAGTATTAATGGGCACAATTTCGAAAATGACCTCCTAGTAATTCCATTCGCAGTGCGGATGCCAGCCACGCGGGAAAATCCATCAAAACCTGAGTACATTTGAATCACACGACCCATTCGCCATTTGAGCGGTGGCACATTGTCTTTCTTTTATCAAAACCAAGCTGTCCAGTGCAATGTCAGAACGATGTGACGAACGATTTGGTTCTCTGTTGAAGCTCCGAAATATATTGACCACCTCTTCCAAAAAATTAAAGTAGAATAAACAATTATAGTTATAATTTTTATTTTCTAACTATGTAACTGCTCGATGTTTAAATCTAAAGAAAATTTTACTATAAAAACATCCACGGGGACCAGGCAGCAGACGGGTCTCGAACCCGCACCCTTCGCTATGCGGCGAATACACTGACCATTATGCTACCGCGGCCCTAATGTCTGTATCGAATTCTTTCTAGCCTTTCTTAAGCTGCAAGGCAGCGCCATCTCTTAGCATTATAGGTAATCTACAATGTCATCTGAATACCTTTACAAGTATTAAATATTTGGAAGAAGAAATAGCAGTTATAGTTAAGTATATTTTTTATTTTTTGAATATGTAGCTGCTGGATGTTTAAATCTTAATTTAGATATAAATAAATATAGTAGTTATTTTAAATTGACTACAGATACTATGTATCTCGCAAAGAAATTTAGGACCCAGATAGCTAATTTGTTAGCTTTAAATACACAAAATACAGTTATACGTCGTATAACTAACTCTATTCGCTAAATAATGTTAGTATTTCTAGTAAAAGAAATATTAACTCTAAAAATAGCTTAACCAACCTAGTTTTAAACTTATCTTAACGACAGCAGCCAAACCTAATAAAAGGATTATTAATATTATACATTAAAATATACAAGATTTGGCTGGCAAAAACCTAGAATAGGCTAGTTGACTCATGTCAAATTGCACTATACAAATGTTTATTTATTATAATGTTTGGTATAAGGAACCTTAATAGGTACATTGAATTCACTTCATAAAGGACATTGTTCAGCGTCCATACATAGTTAGCCTAAGAACCAACAATCATGAAATATTATTTTCTAGGTTCAAAATCGTAAGTAAATGACTGTAGAAACAAAGATTATTGACGGACACTTCTGAGAACTTAAATTATTAGGAAAACTAAAATTTTTTTGAGGTTATGTTTAATATTCAATGAAACATAGGTCAACCTATGAATTTAGTATGAACTCAGTATGAAGTGAATTAATATTAAAACTAATTCATTTTATTCGGTGCGATTTTAAAGAATAACTATTAGGAAAAGACTTGGTTAGGTAGGAGTCATGAATAAAATAAAAACTGTAGTTTTGCTTCTTATTTATTGACTATTTTTCACATAATTGTATCATATTGTTTATTGTAATTATTTGTATATCACATGTATATTGTGTAAATATGCAGCGTGAATGTGTATTAGGTGTTGAATAATTTGGCAGTATGATCCTCTCAGGATGTTGTGGCACAGGTTCACTAGCACTTGGTAATAAGGGCTCTGCTCTTTGGTAACATCGATGGCATATTAGATAGCCGAAATAGTTAAATTAAAGGAAAAACAATCGCAAATTAACACACACAACAGTTAATCTGAAACGAGAATGCACTTTCCGGTATATTAAACTACTCTTTGAAATGCACGAATGCCACAGATTACTACGAATGAAAACTGCATGCACCACAACCACAGAGTAACAAGTTTTATGCCGGCCCTACACTTGACAACAGTTAGGCCTTATCATGCTTAATAAGGAATGAAAAGGACAGACTGATGTAATGTTTTAAAATAGCAAATACGAATAGCCAAGTGAAGTGCTGGCATTAGGAAGAACGAGTGTTTTGTTTGCAGCGCTGCCATAGAATAAACACATAAAATGGTATTTATTGTCTCAGATTATTTTTCAACTTTTTAATTTAGCTTACTTAACTGGAAGGACACTTCACAATCTAAATACTGATAATTATCGCAAAAAACATACTAAGAATTATCATAAATGCCAAATTGGTGTTGGTTCTTAGGCCAATTTTAACATTGTCCATTAGAAGATGGCTGTAGTAATTTAATTTGAAAAATGTTTTTTTTGTCTGTGCTTTTTAAACACTCGAAATACAGCGTTTCGAGTGATTGTGACGTCAATAAGTTAGTAAAACTAAATGTGTTAGTAAACAACTAAACGTCAATGTCGTGTTACTGTGGTGTCTTTTGTTGGACTAAAATAAATCTAAAAACTCTTACATCTTGTAGAAAAAAATCCGTTTATTGGTTTTCTTGACTAAATGAATGCTGGACGCCGGATTTGTGAAAGCAGAAACGAAAAACTCTTTGACTTAGTCGGTACATTCAAAACCTTAAAAATTGTATTTTTAAACTTTAAATATTATTCAACGAGTACTCACATATACGTGATCTTTGCTAAAAGAAAAGACTTTCAGACGGTAAAATTACAGGATTTAGCAAGTTTTAAACATGACTGTGTTCATGTTTAGGTTTGTGTATTTCTCTAGGCAATTTAAACCACAACTTTTCTGGCGTCTTTAACAATGTGTTTCTACATTCTCGTGTAATACAATCATGATAATTACGAGTATTATGTACTCAAGCTTTGTATAATGTCTTGTCACATAAAGAACTTTCAATTCTTGAGTACTTATGTTCGTAGGACAGCGCAATACATGGCGGCTCATTGATTTTTGTTATTAAATATATTAAATCTAAGGATAGAAAGGATATTAGTTCCACACAGAGTATCTCAATGTTACGTTAAATTAAAAGGCCAACTTTTAATTTAACGTAACATTGAGATACTCTGTGTGGAACTAAATGAGATGATAATAGTATGCGTATACCAACCTCCTCTAGGTAACTATAACATTTTTTTATCTGTGATGTACTTATAAAGTTAAAAACAATTTTTTTTTATTTTCGTTGACTTCAATATTAACATTCATGAAAAAAAATTCAATGTCAGTACATATAATATCGCTATTAAAATGTTGTAATTTGATCCATCAATTTTTTGAGCCTACTAGGGTGACATCCCATCCGGCCACTTGTTTGGATAACGTATTTACAGATAATACTCCTGATAATAAGTCTATTTTTAATAGCATTACATCTGACCAATATTAAATGTTAAAAATGTCTTATAAAATACATAAAACAAATGAACCCAAAGTGATTGAATTGAGTGAGACCAGTAACAGAAAAACGGTTAAATTTTTTTCAATAATGGACATATGATGAACCTGATATTCTTTTTGGTGATCTTTTTGATTTAATTAGGAATGAATTTGATATGGCTTTTCCCTTAAAAACTTCGAAACTTACTCAGACGTTAGAGTTTTGTGATTGGGCTACGACTGGTATCTTTAACAGTAGAACTTTATTAATTGTATCATCTAAGAAAATATAATCATTCACAAGGTTTTATTGATTACGTTAAATGTTACTCTAAAACTTTCAAAAAGGTATGTGGCCAAATCTAATTTTATTAAAAATAAAATATGTAAATCTAATAATAAAATCAAAACAACGTGAATTGTTAATAAATTGTGAAACAGTTAAAGAAAGAATACGTGACGATATTGTTGAACTTAAGTCCAATAACATTCAAATAAAGTCTAAAGGACTTATAGCTAACATTTTTGATGGATATTTCGTTGATATTCTTTTGGTGACTACATCTAA